CTCCTTGCCCTTTCGCAGCCGCTCGCGCGCCGCCGCGTGATACCGCAGGTACTCCTGCAACACCTCTCGGCGCAGCTCGCGGGCAGGCGGCGGCAACGATCCCTCGCAGTCGTCGTCGTCGTCCCCGTCGCCGCCGCCGCCGCCGTCGTCGTCGCTGTCGTCGTGGCCGCCGCCGTTGCCGCCGCCGCCTTCATCGTCGTCGTCGTCGACGTCGTCGCCGTCGTCGTCGTCGACGCATACGCAATCGTCATTGTCATCGTCGTCGTCGTCGTCGCCATCCTTGTCGTCGTCCTCGACAGGGTCATCGTCATCGTCCTCGTCGTCGTCGTCATCGGCTTCATCGGCTTCGCCGTCGTCATATTTGTCGTCGTCGTCGCCATTGCCGCCGTCGTCGTCGTCGTTATGCTACGTGTCGCATTCAGAGCCGTCTTTGTCGTCGCCATCGTCCTCGTCGTGTCGTCGGCGCCGTCCTCGCCGCCGTCGTCCCCTTCGTTCAGGGGGGAGGGGGAGGAGCGGGGAGGAGAGGGTGAGCGAGGGGGTTGAGGGAGACAGAGGGAGAGGAGGGGAGGGGGGGAAGATTGACGGCGCGCAGAAGGGGGTAGGGGGAGGGGGGAAGGCTTCTTAGAAGCACCCTGCTTCTTGGAAGGCCTCGGCCTTACGTCTATAGAGAAGGCCCGCGCCTTCTGAGAAGCAGGGGTGCTTCTAAGAAGCCTTCCCCCCTCCCCCTACCCCCCTCTGCGCGTTGCCGAGAAGAGGAAGAGCAGTGGCAATGACAGCGGTGCATGCGCAAGGGTCCGGTCACTGCGCCTGGGCCTCCGCAGCGGCAGGAGGGCGAGAACCCACATTTCCTCCGAGCGGGGGCGGCGACGAGCCCGGCGGCCCGGCCAGGCAGGTGGCGCCACGCCCGCGGGGGCGGAGACCAGCGGGCAACCGAACGCAGCCACCAGGGCCGCCCCAGGAACCCCGCGGGCCCGAATCCTCCTCCTCCTCCTCCTCCCCCTCCTCCTCCCCCTCCTCCTCCTCCTCCGGAACCCCGCGGGCCCGAAAACAGAGCAGTCCCCTGACCGTCCCCAGAAGGTACACCAGCGTTTCGAACCGAGCCCACGCAGTTACGAATAGCTGCTCGCCCACGGCCTCCAGGCCCTTCGCCATATCCCGAGCACTCACACTCCCCGCCGTGGTCCCGACGAACCTGTGACGTTGTCGAGCTCCACCTCCAAGCCTCCCCTTGTGCCTCGGCCTCAGACCTCGGCGACCCCGAGTGCTCGCACTCATCCTCGCCGCCGAACTCACCGTTCTTGTTTCTTCTTGTGCGAACACGCCGTGTTGTTGCGCCGCCCATCGTTGAAGAACGCCGTAGACACAGCAATCGCATCCTCGAGAACTCCACCATCGCTGGCACCAGCAGCACGACATGCCTCGAAGAACAGGTCCCTCTCGTGCAGCGCCATCCCCCGCAGTTTCTGCGCGAGCGGGTTCTTGTCGAACTCGCTGGCCTGCTGCGGCGTGATGCTCCCGACCCTCCGCTCGCCCTCCAGCCCGACCTCGGTGAACCGGTGAACTCTCCCCACGCTGCCTGCACATGGAAAATGGAGATGCTTGAGCCGCCACATGGCACGGCGGCACTCCGCGGCAGCGGCGTCCCTGGCACACGCCAGCTGCTTAGCCTCGACAGATGGCCCTCCGGCTCCGCGCCGGCGCGGAGGCGTCGGCGGCCTGCACATGCGTGCCCTCCTGGACAGCCACCTCGGTCTCCTGGGTCTCGCTGGCCTCATGAGGCACCGCGGCCTCCGCGACCGAACCAGCGATCGGTTTGGTACCCCCGGCCTGCAGCACCAGCGACGGGTCGCTCTTCTGCTCGCGCCGCAGCTCGGCCTCGGTGAACTGCTCGCTCACCAAGCGCATCTCCAGCTGCTCGCTCTCGCTCCCAACGAGCGGCATGATGCACCCGATCTGCGCCTCGGCCTCGGTGACAGCTCCACGCTCATCAAGTCCTCTCCGTCTCCCTTGCCCTTCTGCTCGGCCTCGGTGAAACCCACGTTGGCAAAATCCTCGCCGTCGCGCTGGCCGTTCTGCTCGGCCTTGGTGAGCTCCACGCTCCCTGAGCCCTCAACCATGCCCACGGATTCAACGTAAATTTCCTGGGCTGTCCGCAGGTACATCCTAAGTACTCGTCCTCGGCTGCCCGCAGGTACCTCCAAACACCTTTCCTGGGCTGCCCGCTAGCAGATCATAAGTACCTTTCCTGTGCTGCCCGCAGGTACCGCCAAGCAACTTTCCTGGGCAGTCCGCAGGCACCACCAACGTAGCTTCCCTGGACTGCTCGCAGGCACATTCGAAGTACGAGCCCCCGATCGGCACGAAGCTCCCGACCTGCTGCATGAACGACCGGTCGCTCGTCGGCACAGATCCCCTGCGCGCCCAGGGCCATTGTGTCACGGCCACCCCCGACATGGCGGCAAGCGCCCCCACGCCCACGCCCTGAATCTCGCCCTCGTCGTCCTCCGAAATGGTCTGCAGGTCCCCGACGAAGACCTCCGCCGCCGGGACTTCTGCAGCATAATTCAGACCGTTCAGTAGTGATATTCTACTGGCGAAGCTTTCGGCGACAAAACGCCAATCAAAAAATAAACGATTTCAACTAAAAATGAGTGGCGTAGCGTTGGTAGAGGCGCAACTATCTGATTGCGAAACCATGCGAGCCCGCGCGATGCTTCATGCCCAAGTAGGCTACTCCGAAAGAGGTGCGAGCAGCACGGTCACCGTGCCAGGTGCACCGCCCCTGCACTCGCCATCCACCTCACCGGCGAAGAAGCCCGCGACAACTGCACCCGCGGCGTCGTATTGAGCGCACCTCAAACTCCACCCGCCCGCGACGGGCGAGGAGGAGCGGCGTGCCCGAGGCCAGCATCGCCTCGTTGCCGAGGGCTACGCTTACGGCCCGGCCATGGTTCAGAGGAGGGAAGGAAGCAAAGAAGGAGGAGGAGGAGGAGGAGGAGGAGGAGGAGAAGGGAGGGGGGGAGACGAAGGGGGTTCAGGAGGCGGAAGGGGGGGAGGAGGGGAGGGAGGAGGAGGAGGAGGAGGAGGAGGAGGAGGAGGAGGAGGAGGAGGAGGAGGAGGAGAGGAGGGAGGAGGAGGAGGAGGAGGAGGAGGAGGAGGAAGGGGCGGGTGGAGGGAGGGGGGGGGGGAGGGGGGATGGGCGGAGGGGAGGAGGGGAGGAGTGGAGGAGGGGAGGGGGAGGAGGGGGAGAGAAGGGAGAAGGGGGACAGGGGGAGGCGAGCAGAGGGGAGGGCACGGTGAAACCAGAGTGCTGTCCAGCTGTGAACACGTGGTGATTTTACTCTGCCTGGCCCTCGAACAATGCAGAACGACCCAGACTCGGGCCTCGGCGGCTACAGAGGGCGCAACACATGCGTGCTTGCATGCTTCGGCGGCGAGCCTTGCGGGGGAAGTGAGAAGGGCCGGGCCTTCTCAGAAGGCTCGGAAGTCCCCCGGCCGACTGGGAAGTCTCCTGAGCTTTCCCCGAAGACGCAGGAAACTTCTCGGGAGGCCAGAGGGCTTCTGAGAAGCCACGGTGCCTTCTGAGAAGGCCTGCTCCTTCTCACTTCCCGCCAGGGGGCGCCGCCGAGTGCTTGCATGCTTGCACGGCATGGCAACGACGACCACCACGACGACAACGACGACGACCACGACCATGACGCCGTTGCGAAAGGGTTTGAAGACTTTTGCGGTTCCGCGACCCGGGCTGGATTTTCCACGACGTGCCCAGATTTCTCCGGGTATCTCCAGACCTGCCTGGATCTGACTGTCGTCACGTCGGATCACGTCGACCTGCACCGATGTACGGCCAGGAACTGCTGCTCGACGTGTCAGGGCGGCGGCCCCTGCGACACGCTGTGCCTTGCAAGCTGATGGCGTCTCCCTCTGCTTCGGGGGACGAGAGGCTGGGAAGAGCTCGGAACGTTGATACCTGGGGACTGGAACGTGCTCGGCGTGACGCGCCGAAGTGTGATGGGCCAGAACCAGCGGCACGACACGCTAAGCAAACGTTCCTGACCACATATGGCCCCATTCCTGCAAGTCGGTTGGAGACGAGCCGTCAAGCCCCTGGGTCGACGGCGACGGTGACAGCGGCGACGAGGCCTGGAGAGTGCTCCCACCGCGCAGCGGCTCCGAGCACCGCCTCCTTTTTCTACGTTAGGCGAACTTCAATCGTCTGATTGTAGCGTTCCTGCACCGCCTCCTCCTCCTCCTCCTCCTCCTCCTCCTCCTCCGCCTCCTCCTCCTCCTCCTCCTCCTCCTCCTCCTCCTCCTCCTCCTCCTCCTCCTCCTCCTCCTCCTCCGCCGCCGCCGCCTCCGCCTCCGCCTCCGCCTCCGCCTCTCCTCCTCTTGCTTCTCCTTCTTCTCCCCCCTCTTCGTCGTACTCGCGCTCGTCCTACTTCTCCTGCTCCTGATATCGGAGGAAGAGGAGCAGAAGGAGGATCGAGGCTTGCGTTCGGTTTGGGGGCCTCCCGAGGCTGCCGGCGGCCTCTGGGGACCTAGAGAGCCCTCCGGAGCTCCAGAGGCATCCAGAGCAGGAGGAGCAGGAACAGGAGGAGGAGGAGGAGGAGAGATGAGGATTGGGGAAAAAGGTGCAAAGAAGGAGGAGGAGGAGGAGGCGCTGGAGAAGGCGGCGCTGGAGAGCAAAGATGCAAAGAAGGGGGAGGACGACGACGGCGGCGAGGAGAAAAAAAGACAAGGACGACGATGACCATGAGAAAGAATTCGAATGTGCAAAGAATACGAGACGACCGCCGGCGCCAGTAAAGATGACGCCAGCGACGACGCCAACGCCGACATCGACGGCGACGACGTCGACGACGCTGCCACCAGCGACGACGACGACGACGAAAACGACGCCGAAGGCGGCGACGACGACGACGACGACAACAACGACGACGACGACGACGCCGACGACGACGACGACGACGCCGACGATGCCCGACGCCAGCACCAGCAACGCCCGTGCCAGCGACGACTGCACCAGCGACGACCCTGGCGCCACCGGCGACAAGGACGACGCCAGCGACGCCCACGCCTGCAACGACACGGACGGCGACGGCGCCAGAGACGCCAGCGCCGGCGCCGGCGACGACGCCGACAGCGCTGGCGGCGCCAGCGACAGCGACGTCGACCGACGACGACGAGTGCGGTGCCCGGCCGCCCGGCCTCGGCGGCGGCGGGGCACGGCCCCTCGCCCAGCCAGCCCGGCGGGCGGAGCAACGCCGATGGCCGCGCGGCCGAGACCTCGAGGCGGCCGCGCGCCGCGCCGCACGCGCGCCGCCGCGGTCGCTGCGCGCCGCCACGGCCGCCGCCGTCGCTGTCGCCGCCGTCGCCGAAGCGCCGGCGCGGCAGCAGCCCGGGCGCACGAGGGCCCGTGGAGCACCTGCACCAAGCGAGACGGCGGAGGACGGCCGCGGAGAGAGGCGAGGGGCGCGGACGAACCGACACCTTCGGTGGCGAGCCCCTACCGTGACGAGGCTCTCGCCCTCGAGGCTCCCCTCTGGCCACCTCTCGCCTGTTGGGGGCTCCCAGCGCCCAGGACGGCTCAAGAAGCCTCTAAGAGGCCGCCAAGAAGAGTTACAAGACAGCCCAAGACGCCCCCGCAAGGGCTCCAAGTCGGCCCAAGAGGACCCAAAGATCGCTCAAGGGACTCCCAAGAGGGCCCCAAGATGACCCTGGAGCGCTCCAAGAGGGCACGAAGATTGCCCAGAAAGGCCCCCAAGACGACCTCCGAAGGCGTCAGGCCCAGCCAAAAGTCCCCAAAGAGACAGCCCAAGAAGCCCCAAGAAGCCCTCAAGAGACCCCAGGAAGCCCCTAAGAGGCCCCTAAGAGGCCCTCAGGAGGCCCCCAGGATGCCCAAAGAGGGCCCCAAGAAGATTTCTCCTCTCCTTTCCTTTCCTGTCGCACCCTGCTAATCGAGCCGCCCGGGTGTTATGGTTTGCTGTTGCAGTATGTCTCCCCCCGCCCCTCCGCCTCATACCTCCCCTCCTGGCAACAGCTCCTCGGCCACCATCTGCAATTTGTGGAGATCTGCCCCCGCGAAAGACACGATCGCATTACAGATAGCATCACATTGGATCTCCCGTGCGCGTGCTGTACAGTACCACACCTGCACAAGTGCGCCCATCATCCCAACGGCTCTCATCGAAGTGGAGTTTCAATTCAGCCCAGGGCGTCCCTGGATAGCCCTGTGCTGCCAGAAGAAATACTCATGGCGATTCGCTGCTTTGTCCGCCACCGATGTTATGCTCGTGGCAAACATGCTGGCAAAAAGTTATACCCTGAGATGGCAGAACCCTTTTCCTCCTCGTCATCATGTTTTCCATTTCCTCATCCTCATCTTCTTCCTCCTCCTCCACCTCCTCTTCCTCCTCATCCTGATCGCGCGGACGAAGACGAGATCTAGGTCACGACCATCCCTTGTTCAGACCACTCGCTGAACTGCCGCGGGGTATGAACTCCACCTCCTTCCTACAGCGCGGACGAACACGAGGTCGAGTTCACGGCCCGTCCCAATTCAGACCACTCGTAAGAATTGAGCTGTTCCTACACTCAGCCTCCTTCTTGCTGCGCTGTTGCAGAGGCACGGAGGCGAGGTTTGCCGCAGGCAGCTGGATATGTTGCACCACATTCGTGGCACCACATATGCTCCATCGAAAGACATATTCCTCTTCCTATATTTTGAGAAGCCCGGGCGGGGGGAAAACCCGTCAGCCCCCCCCCCCCCCTAAAACCGGACCCCGGGATCTGGAGTTTTGGGACCTTCCGGACGGGCCTCGAAGCGGCCCCTGGGCCTCGCAGGGCGTTTTGCCAAGCCTTCGCAGCACACCCAGGGCGATCAGGGGGGTCACCGGAGACGTCCCAGAAACCCCCAAGACAGCACAAGAGCGCTCCAAGAAGCCGTCATACTCCGAAGGATCGCTCCAAAACGTACCAAGAGGCCTCCAAAAGCACCCCCAAGAAGGCCCCAAGACGAAAATCATTGATTGTATGTACGTTTTTTGGTGCATTTGGGGTTCTCCTCTTTTCGGCTTCCCGACGCTCCAAGACAGCGGTTTCCTAAGCGTCCGAAGCCGCCTGGGAGGCTCCAAAGTCGCCCCCCAACCATCCGAAAGGGCTTCCAGGCAGTCCAAGAGAGCCCCAAAACGGCACGACAAGGGTCCAAAACGGCCCTAAGAGAGCACCATGGCGGCCCAAGACGGCCCCAAAACACCCTCCGAAGAAGTCCAAATCGTGACTGGGGCGTTCAGGGAAACCGCGGCTAGAGGCAGGTTGGCCTTAGGAAGCCCCAGAGGCCCCCAGAACACACCCAGGAGGCCTCCAGAAGGCTTTGAGAAAGCCTGAGAACTTTGGTGAGGCCCCCAGATGCTTTCCAAGGAGGAGCCCCCGCAAAAAGAGCTGAGGAGGATGGGGAGCATACCCAGAGTATGGCGAGAATGAAGAAAAATAAACATGGAGGAAGGATAACAAACAACATTAGTAGAACGGCGATGCCAGAAAAGGCAGCAAGGAGTTATCGCTAAATTGTCGGTTTGACCTTCCTGCCATTCCCGCCTGCATACCAAACTTCAAGGACCAAGGCGCATGGCGCGAAACGCCACTGCACTCTTGTGTGTGTTATATATATATATATATATATATATATATATATATACAGGGCCGGGGACCCCGGAAAAGCGGCACACGGTGCCCACCCCACCCCCCACCCCCCAAACGAATTTCGGCCTCCCCGAGCCTTAGGGGCGCCCCTGCAGAGTGCTTCGCGTCTGTCCTGCGAGTGCGACGCGGAAGAGGAGGGGGAAAAAGACAACAACAAAAAAAGGCCAAAGAAGGCCCCGAGACACCCGAAGATCGGCCCAAGACGCCCAATCTGGGCCCATGACTGCCCAAGACGCGTCCAAAACGCCCCCAGAGACCCCCAAGAGGCCCCCCAAGAGAGCCCTGAGAGGCTACAATTGTTGATTTTCCTATGTGTTTTCCGATATGTTTGGCTTTCTCGCTTTTCCCGCTTCCCGACGCTCCACAATGGCCCAAGAGGCTCCCTAGATCGCCCCAACACTGCCCAAGAGGCCCCCAAGAAGGCCCCAACACGGTCCAGGAGGGTTCCGAGACCGCCCAAGAGGCGCCCAAGACCCAAGAGAGCACCAAGACGGCCCCAAGAGAGACCCAAGAGGGCGCCCAAAAATTCAAAAACTTAATTTTCCGCCGCGAGAGGGCCCCAAGAGGCCCGGAGAGAGCCCCATGAGGCCCCAAGAGGCCCCCAAGAAGCCCCAAGGGGCCCCCAAGAGGCCCCCAAGAGGCCCCACAAAGATCCCAAGAACCCAAAAACACCCCCAATACGCTTCAAAACTGCCGCCCAGAGGGCCCCGAGAGGCGCGCCACGAGATCCCAACACAGCGGTCTCCCCCTCTCATTATCCCTTCTCTTTGTCGTCGCCTTCTTCGTCGTCGTCGTCGTCGTATCCAATGGCGCAGCGAGGCCATTTTCCGTTCAAACCACCGAAGAACCCAAGAGTTCCTCCTCCTCTTCCTCATTCTCTTCCTCCTCTACCTCCTCCTCCTCCTTCTCCTAATCCCCCGTGATGTTTCACGTTCCGCCCCGCCAAAGGTTTAGCAGAAGCAGCTTCCCTCACTCTCCCAAGTCTCTGCTGCGGATTTGTTCCGCGACACCTCGGCTGTACCCCAGATATCCACATAATCTGTCCTCTTCAGCCTCTTCCTCCTCTTCATCCTCTTTCCTCTTCCTCCTCCTCCTTCTCCTCATCCTCTTCATGTTCCTCCTCCTGCCTCGACTGCGCTTCTCGCAACACTCGATACAAACCGTCGGGGCCACGACACCATTTCATCCGGACGCGCTGTTAGGAACCAGTGTTTTTGTGACATTTCGGAGATCAGGCCGTCGGGAACCTTCGGTTTCAGCATACATCCCGGGGAAACACTCCCTGGGGACTCACGGCCGCACGAACACTTGCAACGTCCTCCTCCTCTTCCTCCCCCTCCCCCTCCTCCTCCGCTCGACTCGCAGAGAGGCCGAGCGGCACCGCGCCGCGCCGCCAGGGATGGGGAGAATGGACAAAAAAAGAAGCGGAGAGGGGGGAGAGGAAGAGGAGGAGGAACAGGAAGAGGAGGAGGGGGAGGAGGGGGAGGAGGAGGAAAGAAAAAGGGGAAGGAGGAAGAAGAGATAACGGAAAGTAGTCCAATCAACTTCGCCAGAGATATGCTCGCAACTCCGACCTCAGAAGCGCCTTGCTTCGCATCGGTCCCGCCGTTTTCGCTTGAGACATCATCGCAGCTCTGGGGCCCGAGACACTCTCAGTTGAGGTGACCCAGCCACTGTCGCCTGAGACACTCTCGCAAGTCTCACTTCGGAGGTGCCTTGCACCGTGGTGGTTCGGCCACTTTCGCGCGCGACTTCTCGCAACTCTAAATTCAAGGATGCCCTGAGCAGAGGTGTTCAGACCACTCCTCGCTTGAAACTTCCTCGCACGGCTGACTTCGGATATGCCCTCCCCTGAGCGGAGGTGTTCAGGCCATTCTCACCTGGGACGTCCTCTCAACACTGACCTCGACGACGCACTGTCCCATGGTAGTCTGACCACGTTTGCCTGAGACCCTCGCGCCTTTTAGTGGCGCGATGATACGAGCAACTGGTCAGGTCACTACCGCCTGATATACGCATGCGTATGCGCACTCATAGTTACATTGACCATTTGCATATACATGTACATATCCATACAAACGTGCATATATCTATATATACGTACAAATGTACTATGCATTCATAGACGCATGTGTGTGCGCATGTACGCACGCTCGCACTCCGCTAGCGTGCGAAATCCAAAGGACCAAGGTGCATGGCGCGCAGCGCCAATGCAGTCTTGTATGTGTACATATATATATATATATATGTATATATGTGTGTATAGATCGTTTTCTCTCTCTCTCTCTCTCTCCCTATTTTCATATTTCTACTACCAAAACCCAAGACCCCCCCTCCTTTAACCGGGCCTCCCCCCAGGGACACCCCGGACGCCTTTTCGGACGTCTCGGCGGCCCCCTGGGCGCCCTTGGAAAAGGTCCGCTGGCCCTTCCGGGCCTCCCAGGGAGCCTTGCCGGGCCTTGCGAGCAGACTCAAGGCGATCAGAGGGGTCATCGGAAAGGCGCAAGAGAGACCCATGACAGCACAAGAGCGCTCCAAGAGGAACCTTGATGGTCTGAAGACGGCCCAAGAGGCCCCCGAGACGCCCCAAGAGCCCCAAGAGGCCGTTAAGAGAGCCAAGAGAAACAAACATCGCCCCATTCCCTTTGAAATGACCATTTTAGCATATCCGTGTTTGGGTATTCGCTGCGTCCAAGACGGCCCGATGGGCCCCCCATATCGCCCCAAGACGGCCCAAAAGGCCCCCCAGAGGGCTTGAAAACGGCCCAAAGGGGGCCGAAGACCGCACCAGAGAGCCCCGAGGCTGCCATCAAGAAGCCCAAGATGCCCCCAGAAGGCTCCCAAGAGAAACCCACGAAAGCCATGGGAGACCCCCTAGAAGGCCACTGGAGGCCCCCAAGAAGGCCCCAGATGGGTTCAGAAGATCTCTGGAGGGCCCCATCTCCCAAAGACGGCCCAAGAAAGCCCCAGGACGACCAAGAGGGCTCCAGGACGGCCCCCCCAAAAAACAAAAACGCCCAGACGGCGTTTTCCTGCGAAGTACATCGAGCTGACCCAACGATCTTGTTTCCATGCTTGAGGCTCGAGGTTCCTGTAAGTTCCTAGATCGAGAGAAATAGGCAATGGATCAAGATTCGAAGTTCGACGATCGACGATTCCCTGAATGCCTGGAGCCCTCCAAACATTCAGGAAGCGACCAAAAATCGATCTGTTCGGAGCTACTGCGACTTCTTCGGCGTGCCCTGGGAACGCTCCTTACTTCCTCAAAGGACCTTCGCGCGTGAAAAACTCATCATTCCTTCCGCAATCCTGTGCACGAGAAAGAGCATCGGGCGAACGCGGTGTCAGCACGCACCAGGGATATCAGAAACATGAGCCGGTCGCCGGTCCAGGCTTCGAAGCCCTCTCCGCTGAAGCAAACAATTATTCATTGTTTTGCCAAGGAGGGTCTGGAACAAGGCGCATGGCGCGAAGCGCCAATGCAGTCTTGTATATATATATATATGTAGTATGTTTATATATATATAAATACATACATATATACACACATATATACAAGACTGCAGTGGCGCTTCGCGCCATTAACCTTGGTCTTTGAGATTTGGTATGCCGGCGGCATAGCAGGAAAGTGAAGCCGACAATTTAGCGATGACTCATTGCTGCCTTTTCCGGCATCCCCGCTATAATAATGTTCTTCGTTATTTTTCCTGCATGCTGCTTTCTCCTGATTTTCGCCATACCCTGCGCATTCTCCCCATCCTCCTCAGCTCTTTTTTGCGGAGGCTCCTCCTTGGAGAGCCTCTGGGGGCCTCACAAAAATTGCTTCAAGCGTTTTCAAGGCCTTCTGGAGGCCTCCTGGGCGTATTCTTGGGGCCTCTGGGGGCTTCCTCGGGCCACCCTGCCTCCAACCGCGGTCTCCCTGAACGACCAGGTCACGATTTGGAATGCTTCGGAGGGTGTCTTGGGGTCATCTTGGGCCGCCATGGGGCTCTCTGAGGGCCATCTTGGACCCGTGTTGTGCCGTTTTGGGGCTCTCTTGGACTGCCTGGAAGCCCTTTCGGATGGTTGGGGGGGGATTTTGGAGCCTCCCAGGCGGCTTCGGACGCCCAGAAGACCGCCGTCTTGGAGCGTCGGGAAGCCGAAAAGAGGAGAACCCCAAAATGCACCAAAAACCTACATATAAATCAATGATGTTTGCCTCTTGGGGCCTTCTTGGGAGTGCTCTTGGAGGCCTCTTTGGGGCCGTCCTGGAGGCCTCTTGGGCCATCTTGAGGTCACGTCGGTCACTCTTGGAGCGCTCTTGTGCTGTCTTGGGGGTCTCTGGGGCGTCTCCGATGACCCCCCTGATCGCCCTAGGTGTGCTGGGAAGGCTTGGCAAAACGCCCTGCGAGGCCCGGCGGGCCGCTTCGAGGCCCGTCCGGAAGGTCCCAAAGCCTCACATCTCGGGAGTCCGGTTTGGGGGGGGGGGGGACGGGTTTTCCCCCCGCCCGGGCTTGCAAAAATATAGGAAGAGGATACACATTTATATATATATATATATATATATATATATATATACATACATATACATATACATATACATATACATATACATATATATATATATACATATATATATACATATAAAAATATATGTGTGTATAGACATCTACTGCACCACCTTAATTGCACCACATGGTCTGCACCACATAGCTCATTCCACAAGTATTGCACTATGTACACTGCACCCCATACATTACACCGATAAGCCCACATCACATATGTTGCAACACAAATATTGCTCTGCACAGCTGACGTCACGTAGCTCACACTCTATATATATATATATATATATTGCGCCACAAATAGTGCACAACATAGATTGCGCCGCAGAGCTTGCACTACATAGCTTGCGCCACCAACATAGGCGGCACCACATAGCTTGCAGCACATATATCGCAACATATGGCATGCTAGAACACACTGTTCGGGGTCCACGCTGGTTAACATTTGCTTTTGTCGGGGGTCTACTGGGGAGGGACGCCTAGTTCGGAAGCTGGGGCTCAACGCAGCCATCCAGCCTACCCTAAGTCACCTGACGTCGCGCCTTGCGCCGCGCGAGGCGCCAATCGCGATCCTTGAAAACGGGCCTCGCGCCGCCCCTCTGGAGAGAAACGACTCGCCGGCCTTCCCCGCGAAGCGCGGCTGCCTTCGCATTCCTGCGGGTGACAGGCTCACTGCTGAGAAGCGTAGGACCTTACGCGCTGCATGCACTTCGCCATGTCCCTCTGCTCCACGGTCCGGGTCTTGCTGTCTGTGGTCGGCCTCCTGAGCTCGTCGAGCGTGGGAACGTTCTTGTAGTCCCAGCGGGTCAGCTGGTCCAGAATCTCCTGCACTGGCGTGCCAGCGCGCTCGAGCCACTCTGGAATCAGCTCGATGGTCATGAAGCACGGGGGGTACTTGGAGAACAGCTGCTGCGCGCCCCTGATGAACCTCCCCTCATAACCCTCGATGTCGACCTTGGCGATCGCGATGGCCTTCATTCCTGGGTTGTGCCAGAGCATGTGGTCACCAGTAGTGAGCTGTACCGAAAACTCCTCCACGACAACCTTCTTGGCGTACTTCTGTTCCTTCTTCCCCGGATGGAACAGGTGCTGCAACTGGTCGTCGGTCATGTTCGTGAACGGCTTGGTGCCCTGGACGGCCGAGCCGCCCTTGTTGACAGGGTTGAGCGACATGACCACCCGCTTGGGATCCTCGGGCGCGCCCACGGCGTAGGTGTAGACGTCCACGTTTTTGAGCTTGCTCTCCAAAATGCCCGCCACGAGGTGATCGGCGGTGGGCGGCATCCCCTCCACCGCCAGCACCCTCCCGCTGCCCGAGAGGCAATCCGCCAGCGGGATGGTGAAGGTGCCGATGTTTGCCCCGACATCGAGGAAGTTGCCGACGGCGCCTCCCTCGCGGTAGAGGCGGCACAGCTCGGAGACGCGCCTGGTCTCCCACCCGTTCCCCGCGAGGAGCTCGGCGGAGACCATCGAGTCCGCCCAGCGATCGAACGCGGCGATGCTGAGGTTGTAGCCGCCCACGAGGCTCCGGACCTCCGCGTGGTGGAGCGTGCTGGCCTCCACGGTCAGAGGGCCGCTGGACCAGCGGGCAAGGTCCGCCGGCCTCGGGTCGCCAATGGGGTGCTCCGGGCTCGCCTGGGCGAGGCTCAGCGGCTCTGGCTCGTGCTGCGGCAGCGTCAGCGCCGCGGCGCGGAGCGAGGCCACGGCGCAGGCCACGGCGCAGAGCCCGAGGGAGGCCATCGTTGCGGCGGGCCGCGGTGTTTTGGTTTCTTGTTCGGCGGTGAGGCCGCCTGTGCGCACCTGTACGGTCTCTGGTGGGGTGGGGACCCCAAAGTGGCTTATGTGGCAAAGTGGCTACGGAGCCGTCGCCTGCCCACGTCTTGGAGCGAGGCGGGGGGCTCGTCACAGAGGGGTGCGGTTGGCTGGAGGTCGTCGGTCAGGCCGCCCCCGAGGATGGGAGCCGGAGACGGAGATGTCAAGATCCGCGAGGTATGGTCCTCCTCCTCCTCCTCCTCGTGCTCCTCCTCGTCCTCCTCCTCCTCCTCGTGCTCCTCCTCCTCCTCCTCCTCCTCCTCCTCCTCCTCCTCCTCCTCCTCCTCCTCGTGCTCCTCCTCGTCCTCCATTCATTGACCTCAGGAACAACTCCTCCCTGTCGCACCCCGAGACGCAACGGTAGGGCGGGCCGGGCGATTCCCCTGAGACTTCCTCACCACTCACGATGCTTAAGCTGAAAATGTGCAACAGTTCCACGGATGGAGGGCGGTTCCTTTTTCATAATGTGGCCCTCGCCTTAGCACCGCGCACACTCGTCTTAAACAGTTGCCGGAGCTGCACGGACGGAGGGCGGGCCGGTTTCGAAATGTGGCTCTCGCCTCAGCGCGGACCGTTTTCAAAATGTTGCTCTCGCCTCAGCGCCGCAGTCTTAAAAGCTAGCAACAGCTTCACGGATGGAGGACGATTCCATTTCAAAATGTGGCTCTCGCCTGATCGTCGCGTATTGTCGTCTGTAAGAAGTGCAGCAGCTTCACGGATGCATGGCAGGCCGTTTTCAAAATGTGGCTCTCGCCTTCGCGCCGCGCGCATTCGTCTTAAAAGTTTGCAACAGCTTCACGGAAGGAGGGCGGTTCCTTTTCAAAATGTGATTCTCGCTCTAGAGCCGCGCACATTCGTCATAAAGTTTGCAAGAGTTTCGGGAAGTATTATGGCTGGCGTCCCAGAAATGGTGCTCTGGCACGATTGAAGATTGTCAGGTCACTACTGCGAGGCTGATTCGCGGCGCTGAAGTCCCAAAAATGGTGCTCTGGCACGGCTTAGGATTGTCAGGCCGCAATAGTGACGTGAATTCGCGGCGCTGAAGTCCCAGGACTGGAGCTTTGACACTGTTAATTGTTTTGTAACGATTGTCCTTCAACGGGGCTCTTCCTGCAGTGAAAATGAGTCCTTGCAGGAGCATATGAAGAGAGAAGTTGGGGGGAGTGTTTATTGCAACATCGTTGATGGGTCTTGGGTTTACACTGGTCCTCCTCTTCCTCCGTCTCCTCCGCCTCCTCACCCTCCTCCTCCCACCACCACCTCAACCCATCCTCCTGCTTCCTCCTCCTCCTCCTCCTCCTCCTCCTCCTCCTCCTCCTCCTCCTCCTTCCCTCATCATCATCTCATCATCATCATCATCATCATCATCATCATCATCATCATCATCATCATCATCATCATCATCATCATCATCATCATCGTCATCATCGTCATCATCGTCATCCTGCCTCCTCCTCATCCTCCTCCTCCTTCTACTCCTCCTCCTCCTCTGTCTCCTCCTTCTGCTCCTCCTCCTCCTCCTCCTCTTCCTCTTCTTCCTCCTCTTTATCCCCCCCTCAAGAATCAACCTCCAAAGCTATATTAGGGTGCGTGCTGATCGAAACTTCGATGGGAAATCCAGCCGTGGCGACGAGAAACCTCCCAGAAGCCTAAAACGAATAACGACAATCACAAACCCTGTGAGCTCAAACTTCGAAACTCCGCCAACTCCTCATCGCTCGCTCGCGACTTCAGGACTTTTGAGATAAACGCAGCCCGTCCCTGAGAAAACAAAAAAAAACTAACTCTGCTAGAAATGGAGCGGCTTACCTCGGCTAAGTCCCTCTCAGTGTGTCGAGGAAGAAGCGCAGTCGAACGCATATGGCTTGCAAAGTACAGGATCATGGTCCGAAGCAAGTAGGCTCGACGAAAACGCGGCAGCCCGCAACGGAATGGGGGAAAGGGGGTCGCAACTCCACTCAACAGCCAGCTCTGGGAAGCGATCTCCTGCTTCCCGATCAACCCCTTGCGCTAGGACAACACGTCCTTCTCCTCCTCCTCCGCCGAGCCCTCCCGACCAAACACTTGCACGAGGACAGCACATCTCGCGAGACATCCGACGGATAGTTTGTTGTTCAATCTGCGGGCCCAAGATGCCTCGATCCGTTTTTGACGGCCGACAAAAGAAGGAAAGGCGCCAGGATTCAAATGACCCGTCCGCCCAAGGTTTCGGCCCTCATCTGGGAAAAAAAAAGATCTGCATGAACATCGACTTCCGGAGATCCCCGCGGGTTTCTTGACACCCTCGCCACCCTCGGGGAGATGTAAGACTCGAGTTCGGGGGACTCGGGTTGTCCTGACGGGGCCATCCTGAAAATGACGATGGCCCAACTTCTAAATTTGATGCGACCTCCCGCTGCAGACATCCCGCGAAAACTGGACCGCCGAAATCCAGGACGCGCTCGTCAAGAAGCGGCGGCTGACCCGAGCTCTGGCGTACTCAAGTCCTACGTTTTCCCGACACCCTGCGGAAGCGGCCTTGGCGGGCCAGGCGGAGGCAGTCGCCGGCCGCAGCGCCGCTGGCCAGCCCTCCCCCGGCCACCGCGGGCGGAAGGACGTGGGGGAGGAGGGGGGGGGAAGAGGGAGGGGAGGGAGACGAGCAAGGGGAGGAGGAGGAGGAGGAGGAGGAGGAGGAGGAGGAGGAGGAGGAGGATGAGGAGGAGGAGAAGGAGGAGGAGGAAGACGACGACGACGACGAAGAGGGAGGACAAGGATGGGGACAAGGGGAAAAAGGAAAGGGCGGAAAGGGAAGGAGGGCCAGGGGAGGAGCGCGAGGGGGAAAGAAGGGGGAAGAGGGGGCGAGGAGGGAAAGGAGGGAAAGGAGGGAGAGGGAAAGGGGGTCGTGGCCGTCCGTCTTCGCTTCCGTGCCGTCGCTGTCACTGTCGCCGCCGTCGTCATCCCTCCTCAGCGCACCCCTCCTCCTACTCCTCCTCCTCCTCCTCCCTTCTGCTCCCTGTTCCTCCATTATCCTTCTCCTCCTCCTCCTCCTCCTCCTCCTCCTCCTCCTGCACCTCCTCCTCCTCCTCCTCCTCCTCCTCCTACTCCTCCTCCTCCTCCTCCATCGCCTCATCGTCCTCCTATTCCCCCTCACCCTCCTCGTCCTCCTCACCCACTTTCTCCGCTGTTTCCTCTTCTTCCTCCTCCTCCTTCTCCTCCTCCTCCTCCTCATCATCATCATCATCATCATCATCCTCCTCCTCCTCCTCCTCCTCCTCCTCTTCCTCATCCTCTTCCTCCTCCTCCTCCTCTTCCACCTCCTCTTCTTCTTCAGGACCAGCATCAAAACATCAAAACCGTCATCTGCATTATCAATTGCATCCGCATCATCATCATCATCATCAGGAGCATCATCATCATCAGCAAATTCACCATCATCGTCGTCGAAATCGTCATTACTTTGGCCATCGTCGCCAGCACCAACGCAATCACCGGCATCATGTTCATCATCGTCATCGTCATCATCAGCACCAGCATCGCCATCCACGTCGACGTCATCGTCGCCGTCTCATCGAAATCGTCATTGCCATATTCGTCTCCTGCGCCCTCATCATAATAATCCCCATCATCAAATAGACGCCTGTTCGCGGAATACGCAAGCGTCCAAAACGACACAACCATGCGATCTCATAAACTGCGGCCGGAAAGACAGCATAACAAGTCGGCTTAAGCAGGCTGGGTAGACGTCAGCACATGCAGACGCGCACTGGACCCCAGTCCAACGCAAGTGACGGGAACGTTCGGCCAGTCTCTTGAAACACTCACACACGTTGGGATTACAGCGAAGGATGAAAGGGGCAGCTCCCCCCAGCGGAGGAAGCAGCGAAGGACGAGAGGAACGAGAAGAGAAGGAGGACGAGGAGGAGGACGACGAGGAGGACGAAGAGGAGGACGAGGAGGAGGAGATTGGGGAACCAAAAAAATAGGAGACTGATTTTTTGGCATGAACGGTGCACGCCAGGAACGAAACTCGGCCGGAGCACCACGCAGCGCGACACCTCGTACTCGCGGATTCGCAAGACAGCGAAAGTAGGAGCCAGAGCCCGTTGGCCACAGCGAGAAACTGGGCACCGAAAAGGAAGAAACAACGGCCGTTCATGGACTCGACTCCTGCGCAGCTCCTTGGCGAGCCACAACGAGGAAACTGACAAGAGCGAACTGCATGCCCAGACTCGGATAACGATACGCCTCCATGGCCGTGCCGGCCCAAACAACCCGAAGGGCACCAGTCCATCGGGCGAATCCACACCCCCACGCACACCATCGCGGGGCACCCTGGCCGTGGGAAGGATGGGTGTGGGATCCACCATGAGCCCCCCGCCGGGGACCCGCCTCCCGCGCAGGCGCACGCGGTGTACATGGCAAGGCGATGAGGGAGCAACTTTCTCTCCCCCTGGCCCCCAGCGGGCAAACAAGGATGACGAGCGGGCTGCTACCCGCCTTTTTTCCTGGCCAGGGGGCCCAGTGGCACAGGTGCCAAAAGTAGGACGATGAGGAGGAGAAGGAGGGGAGGAGGAGGAGGAGGAGGAGGAGGAGGAGGAGGAGGAGGAGAGAAGGACGAGGAGGAGGGAGGAGAGGAGAAGGACGAGGAGGAGAGGAACAACGAAGGAGGAGGAGGAGGAGGAGGAGGAGGAGGAGGAGGAAGAAGAGGCGGAGGAGGAGGAGGAGGAGGAGGAGGAGGAGGAGGAGGAGGAGGAGGAGGGGACGAGGAAGGAGCTCGGCAACGGCTAGAAAGGTGCCACCACATTAAACATGCATCAAACAAACTCCAAACGAGTTAGGGAGGGTCCAAGTTCTCCTCGGGCGGCACAACCTGCCGTCGGCGCTCTTGCGCTCGAGCGCCGAGCGATTCAGCCTCTTCCCGAGAGCTGAACCCGTAAAGTGAAAGGCCTCGCTGAAGGTCGACCCCAGTCCCAGCCCAGACCCTCCCAATCCCGCCCGACGAAGAAGCCAGAGAGCCTCTGGACCGAGGTGGCGCGAGCAACGGGAGGTCGTCCAGACCCATCTTGGCGGCGAGGTAGTCTCGAGCTGGGTCCGATAACACGGTCGCTCGCGAGACCCGAAAATCTTTCTTCGAAGGATGGCGGCCCTGCAAAATCCAAGCCAACTGCCTCTCACGACCCAGGGAACGATGGCCCAGACAATCCGACGCGAGAGCAGTCTTGCCACCGTGCCCTCCGACGGTACAGACTGAACCGCAACGGGTGCAGAAGGCCAGGGAGCCAGCGGCCGCCCCAGCGGGGTCAGTGACCCCACACTCTATGATGTCGTGGGCGCGGGCCGGCCAGACATGGAGGTCGGGCCACTCGGCCCTGCCCTCCTCACCGTCGTCGCCCACCCCTCCCGACTCCCGACCCGTCCCGCCACTCCCAATAGGAGGCCGCCGTACGGAGCCACAATCAAAACGGCCAGGAGGAGAAGGCTCGGAAGGAGGAGGAGGATCATCAGGGAGAGGAGGGACCTCAAGGGTGATGTGCCTCAGCCAATCGATGCCGACATGGTCGAACTGCCCACTGTCCCCGATCCGAGCTTCTTGCTCAGCTGAGAACTTGCACAACAGCCGGGACAACTCAAAGCAACCATCGACGACGGCACGATCAGCGGCAGAGATTCGACCCAATGAGGCGCCTCGCTTGGCATATTCATCGGCAGCCTTATTGCCGAGATACTCGAGACGGCTGAGCTTACCGTTCTCGACATCACGAAGGGTGCAATGGGCAGGAACTTTACGCCACCGCACTCCGTCGAGCTTATCAAACACATGCTGCCACATATGCGCCCGAGCATTATCGGGACAAACAGCTCCCGCGGGGTCCGAAACATACCCGAGAGTTCCAGCACAGTCCCCATACAAGTTGGCCCCAGGGAACACAGTAGCATGGCGAACGAGAGAGACCACTGCATAGTCCTCACCGTCACGGGCGACCTGGGCTGGAGCTTCACACACGGGCACGCGCCCCCAAATCGCACGAGCAACTTTCCCCCACCCGTCCGTAACGATCACCGCCCATCCCGCCGATCGAATCCTAGGGAGGGCAGGCTCGAAACACGAGCCGTCCAAGAACACATGGGCCCCTTCCCCGAGCACCAGCCCGTCGGCAGGCCAATTGTGCCTATAGACCGTGGCCTCAGGGGGTTCGGAGGGGCGCGAGAACCAGCAAGTGGGGTCTGGGAGCACACACCTGGCGAACAACTCCTGGGCCCTAGACGAAAGAAGGCGCACTCTACCCGCTGCCCGGCGCAGGTCGGGGCTCAAAACATCCCGTCGCCACGCATCGTGGGCGGGGCAATCAAATCGACGATGAAACATGGTACCTGATGGGGCCTGGCAGGCCAGGCAGGCAGGGGGTATGTCCTGACAGGCGTCATGAAACCGCTGCTGGCACCAATACCTGTTGGTAACAAGGCTGCGCAAGCAGTGACGACAATGATCAAACCAAGCTGCCTTGCTTCGAGATCAGATCCAGAGCCGGCTTGAGACAGATGGGGCCGCGCCATTCGGCTCCAAAATCACTCTGCCTAGCCTGCTCTTCCATTACAATCGCTTCCTCACACGCCTCGCGCACGCGAAGGGCGAAGAAGGCCGGGGAAAACACAGACAAACTCCAGGAGCGACCCGCCTGGTCAATCAGGACCTCGTTTGGGACATCCAACCTCCAACCAATCCGAGCAAGCGTTAACACAAGAGCGGCAAGAGGTTGCTTGGCGGAGCCCCAGGGTTCAGGTTTCCTCGCAGACACGAATGCATCGTCAAACGCAGAGAGGAGGACCTGCTTCGTGACACTGCGGTGCCACCAGACAGAAACAAATGACTTGACGGCGCCCACCGTCGTCGAAACAAGAGGATCCCGCTGGGGGGCCCCGCAAAGAAGGAAGGTGAGGCCGAGGGAGGATCCAGGCTGGAGGGGGCCAAAAGACCTGGCAGAGGCCACCCTCAGAGTCCTCAGAGCCGAATTCCCAAGACCATTAATGTGCGCCCCCCACGTGGCCTTAGCGACAGGGCCCGCTCTGTGCACCCGAGAAGCCTCCCTCCCCCGCCCAGTCTTCGAGAGCCGAGTCGCAGCGGCCGACGATTCGAGGAGGCGCTTGTTTTGCACAGGCACGCGGCGAGCCTTGCCGTCAGAAGCGTCGCCACCCAGGTCACGGTGGGTGGTGGCCAGGAAGGACTCGTCGAACGGCCAGTCGGGGTCGTCCAGCAGAGCCTCGAGCAACTCAGGGCTCGAACACAGGAAGCAGGTCTTGTCCAAGTTGAGCGGAAGGTCGAGCTCATTCATCTGAGTGGCTACAATCGTGGCTGCTTTGACCAATTGCCGAGCCACAATGCGGAGAGAACCCACAGCATGCACCTTCAAGTCGTCCACCAAGTTCAGCGGCCGGCAAACAGGCGTCTCAATGGCAATAGTCCGTAAAACGCACAGGGTCATGAGCTTCACGGTGCCAGTCGCGCAGCTGCAACCCGCGATCACCGTGCCGTTGGGGACAACCAGGCGCGAGGTCGCGCCAAGCCAGCGGGCCCGCCTGGGCCCACGGTA